CTAGGCCGTTCAGAACTCTATGGTATGTGTCTCCAGTTGTTAGGTCAGAAAGCTAGGCCGTTCAGAACTCTATGGTATGTGTCTCCAGTTGTTAGATCAGAAAGCTAGGCAGTTCAGTGGGACCATTTGATGATTCAAAATTCAGAATTATTGGATAACAATATGGCTGCGTCTGGAAATGACGAGCCCATAGGCCCTTAACTGAAATTTGTGGTTGTTGTTTCCAACTCATAGTGACTGTCGAGTCGTTTCTAACTCATAGCGACCCTGTACAGGGTTTCCAAGGAGCTTCTGGTGGGTTTGAACCGCCAACCTTACAGTCAGCAATCCAATGCATATCCTACAGTGCCATACCAGAACTCAAATTACTGTGGCCAAAATGCTTAATATTTGCACATTAATCTTTGTGCTCATCTTGGAAAATAATTATTTTATTCAAACAGCACTAGATTTGAGATTGTAATAATAGTAATCACAATAATAATAATAGGTCATTGCTAATTGCATCGCACGCAAACATTTTACCTTCCCTTGTTCTCTGACAGGTAATTGGTCTGCAAGGTTAACCTCACTTTCAGTTTCAATAATGGGTCACCTCTCCCAATGGCTAAAGACTATCAATGCTATCCAGTCTTTCTCAGCATTTTTATCTATTCAGTTATTACATTCTTGAAATTTTAATGACACAAATATACTGTATATCTGTTGCTGTATTGTATACATACATAAAAGGAGTAAAAAAAAATTTAGCCTTTTCCTAAGAAGAAACCCTTTTAAGTGCTTTGGGAGCAATACAACTCTTGTGAAGAATCCATGGATTGGAATCTCATCCTCTGTAACAATCAGCATACGACACTGGGGATGGACACAGAATCTATATGGGTTTATCACTTGAAACCTGATAAATTTTTTGATAGTTGGTGGGCTTGAAAATTCTCTCCTTTTGAGTGGTTTGATTATAGATGTAAGATCTGCAACTGCTAGAACTTTTTACTACCATGAGAGAAGAAACCAACTGAGGATACAGCCAACACATGAATAAGACCAGAGCTGAAAGGATCATGGGAACAATCACAGCGCCTTGATCAAGCCAAGCCTGAAGTCCATTCCACCATAAGATTTTTCAGTTGGTTATGTCAAAAGCCCCTTCTTTTTACTCTGTAGGTGAATTTAACTTGAGTTTCCTATTACAGTGAAAAAAAATCTTAACTGACAGGAAAGATAACATTTATTAAAAGTTTCCTAAGATCTGGGCATTATGCTAAATACCTTAAATGTCAATTAAGTCTCTTATTAACTTTCTGTGATTAATATTATTATATTTCCCATATTATAATGAAGACACTGAATTAAGATTAAATTACCTATTACATAACTTACCCATGGTCATACACAGAAGAGGGAGAATTCACCAGAGTGTTTTTGAACCTAAAGTATAACTCATTTATTTTACTGCATCTAATTTCTACCCAATTTAATTACTACCTTCTGGATCAATATTTAAAAAGCATTAAAGAGTTTGCCCTGAGCAGTATTTCATTTTAAAGAATTATGAAACTGACCATTTAAAAGGTTAGATGTGAAGCTTCGTTTACATCAGTTGTTCTTGTCATTAAGTGTTGTCAGTTGGTTTCAACCCCTAGTGACCCTAAATAGGGTTTCCAAGGCTATATATCTTTGTTGGAGCAGAAAGCCTTATCTCTCTCCCACTGAGTGGTGCTGGTGGGCTCGAACCACCAACCTTTGTACGATAAGCACATTCCAGTGCTTACTGTACAAAATCACTGCACTCCAAGCCTATGTGAATAGTGGAAAAATAACTTGAAAAGATTAGCAAGAATGGTTGTACAACTTAAAGAATTCAATCAGTAAACTGTCCGTGCAAACACTGTTGAATGGGTGTAGTTTTGCTATGTATATTCTCATAAAAATGAATCTAAAATAATAATTAAGGCAGAAAAGAAAATGCTTCTCTGCAAATTGTTAACTATATTATGCAGTTAAAAAGACTACAGTTCTCAAAAGTTAAAAAAATATATATATTTTTTTGAATCTTTTTCTTTGACGATGCAGTAAACCTCACACTTAGAATCTTCTACATATGATCCAATACTCATAAAAAAGGTCATCATTATTTTAGATGTTCTTTCCTATCATTAAGAGAGGGTATTGGCTCAGTGACTATCCATTCTATAGCAGAGAGAACAGATATATTAATAAATTGGTCCCTCAAGTTGCTGTTCTGCAATAAAAACAAGTATTAGTCAACTTTTTAAAGAACCCATGGATTTCCACGTTTTGGGAAACTCCATTTTTGAATTGGTCAGTAACAGCATTCGAGATAAGCCATAAATCCTCAGACTTCTTGGGGAACAGGTACAGAGTCTATCTGGTGAGCTATAATATTTATGTTTCCCATTTGAAAATGTTTCAAACATGGGAAAAAAGAATTTTTGTGAGAGGCATTTGTCTTACAGGGCAAGCTGAGCAGTGAATTTCCAGTTGTCTCTAAAACGTCAGTTGAGATGTGTAATACAGGCAGATGCGATCTGCCCACAGCTCCCTAATACTCTAAAATCCCCACATGCTGCCCCATTTCCCAACCAAGCTTTTGTTTTCCATTTCAAAATGTAAGCTATCACAGATAGATTAAACCAAGCAAGAGATGCAAAAGTACAGGTCAATAATTGTTTCTCACATTTTAACCAGCCTGAACGGGCACATGGATTCTTTACACTCCCACAGTCTAATCCTAGTCACGGTGTTTGAAATTTGCCTGATTAATGGAAGACTGTAGTTTGCATGGAAGACACACTAGATATAAATTAGAATGATCTTAGGGAATATCAAAGCTATTCCACATCACAAGAAAGAAAATGTGATACCACATTCCCAGAGTAAACATTTCCATAGGTATAATCTCTCCAAATATAATGTAGGGTTTTGTTTCATGAAATAAAAAATTTAATCTAAACGATATTAACAACCAAAATGCCAAAACCAAAAAGCCTACTGCCATTAAATCAACCAAGGCATAGTACTTTTAAATCCTCTCTGCCACTGTTAAAAAAAAAAAAAATTCTGGCAAGCTGTAGCCCCAGAGAAAATGAACAGTCTCATAGTTGAACAAAGTTACTGCATTTTTTGCCTGCAGGATGCAACCTAGCAGAGAAATAAAGAGGCTGTGTTGTATGTCAGGGAGTAAATCCAAACGTAAGCATTCCAACACTCAGCCAGGCCCCCCTCCTTTCTCCAGCCCATCATCTTCCTGCAAAGTGTTCAGAATTTGCGGTCCTTCCAGCCAAAAGTCAGTAGACTCATAATCAGCTTTTCCTGGCTCTATCTCGCAATTTGGGGATGACTGATGGAAAAATGAAATAAAATCAAATGAAGAATGCATGTGTACTGAGGCCCTGTTGGATGTACACTGGCATAAAACCACTGCCCCTGAAATGCCTACCCCAGTGAAATAAAAAAGAAGGCAACATCTGAATGTTAAAGTTTCTCCCTGCAGACGCTCTGCTGCAAAGCTCCATCTTTCTTAGCTAAGTACCAGCAATACAGCAACACTCTAAAACATATGTCTGCAAATGCTGGGACCAACTCACAAATGGGAAAATTCAAGGCAAGCAATCAGGCAATAGTTAGCTACAACTGCTGAGCATTTGACCCAAGAGGCAAACAGTCCGCTAGGAGGTGAAGAAGAGAGAGCTGGCGGGAGAGAGGCATAAAATCATACAGGTGGAACGAGCGTCGCAGGAGCGCCTGGCATCCCGCAAGGGGTGAGGAACGCTGCGCACCCTGGCTCACCTGGTATACGTCCCGCAGCCCGCACCATGTCCGTAGCACCTGGTGGCAAGCCCGCAGCCTCTCGGTGTACCATCTCCGCAGCGTGGACACGGTCAAGTTCCACACGAAGCGGCTGCCGCTGAACACCAGGTCCTCCACTCCACACATGAACACCGAAGCCATGCCTCCTCTGTCCCTCTGTACCTGGGATGGGGGACCCCGACGCAGCCAGGTGCTGCAGCCCAGCGAGCTCCGATCACAGAGGCCTGACCGCCTGGGCTCCCGATGCCGGCTGCTGTTGGTAGCCTGGGGTCAAGCTTTCCACCAAACTCGGCTTTCAACGGGCGTCCTGGCTAAGCTCAGGAGACATGGCCCAGGATTGGGCGCCCGCCAGCCAACGGCTGCGGCTGGCACACAGAGGCCCAGTGTCCACCCCCCGCCCACCGAGAAAGCTGCACTAAGCTCCGCCAGGCGAGCCCTCAATGCTCCCCGGACACGGGAAGCCCTGTCACAGAGGACTCCCCCTTGCGCTCCCCGAGTGCGCTGGGCCGGGAGGGAAGTGGAGCAACTCTTAGCAAGCAAAAAGGCGAGATGCATTTCAGCGCGCTTGGCTTGCCTGAGCGCGCGCGCGCGTGCACACACACACACACACACACACACACACACACACGTGCACACACGCACGATCGCGCACGCACACACACACACACACAACAGCCTGAATCTCCTAATCTTCCTTAAGGAGCGCTTTGCTTTAAACCACAGGATCCCTTCTTGACATCTTACTCTGGTCACACTGATAAACACACCTCTAGGCGGCCACAGATTCAGGAGGGTGAAAACAAATCCTTCAAGGCATGCATCCCTTTGGAACTCATTCCTGAGGGAAAATCCCTGAGTGTTTCCTTGGTTCTGCTGGAGCCAGGGGATGAAGACACAAGTCTCAAAGCAACAGTGTGTATGCTGCCCCAGGACCTGCCTTTGCTCCTAACTTGAGGATCTCTGTGAAAATGGCAACTTACTGTTGTTACCAGGAGGAGGTGAGGTTCTCCCATCCTGGCATTTTGCTAAATCCATTGCAGCAGTGAGTTCATGCAGAAAAACAGAGCGTGCCTGTTGTTGTTGTTAAGCGCCATCGAGTCGGTTCCGACCAATATTAACTCTGTATAGGGTTTCCAAGGAGCGACCAGTGAGCTTGAACCACCGACCTTACGGTTCAAACCAAGTTGGCAGTTACCTTCCAGTTAACTATTTGCTGGGAAGTAAAAGCCCACAAAAGTATCTGATTTGGTTCAAGAAAATTCAGTTTCTGTACATGTCCAATCGGCACAAATCTGCAGAGGTAGATTATTCTGGTCTCAAATACAAAGGGACGCTGTTCCACCAATCATGAAGTTAACAGGTTAATTCATCTTTCTTTCATTTAAATAAGTTCTCCCTCATGAACTGATTCCTAAGGTGTTTGAAATGGGAAGCTGAGAAATCCCAGATAGCACCAGTTTCTATTTTCCTTTAAAAAGTTCCATATACTACTATACCATTTTTCATAGCAAAACAATGCGGCGAGTTTCCCAGGTGACTCATTTGGATGGAGTGTTTTTGCTGAATTCTTCTGTAGGACAATTGTCAGTATCTTGTTGGCAGTATCACACCTGGGTTGTTATCTTTGCTATTAAGTGAGAGAAAGGAAAGGCGCCAAAGCCTTTCTCCTGAACTAGCTCACAAGGCTCCTGAGCAGACTATCGACAAGCAAATCAGCTTTATTTCAGGTTTCAAATACACCTTTAGAATCTTAATTCAGGTGAAATTCAATCAGTCAAAAGACGAGGAACACAAAATCTGTCCTCAAAGTGCCTCTTGTTTTCAAAGTGACGACAGTCAGGAAACTTTTAAATGATGCTGCTCTTACTAATAGAATTGCTTGAGTATTTTGGTTGAATTAGTCAATAGGCCATGGTGTTTTGCAAATTGTTCTTCACAGTGATCCTATCTGACGTGTTCATTAGCACTAGCGTTTTGTGGGCATCTCCCTACCTAGCAACTGTAGGTCTTAACTGAGCCCAAGAAAAATGAATGGCATAGATTTGAAAAAGAAATACCATGCTGATGGAAAACTACAGGACTTGAAAAACAGTTGAAAAACTGCAGTTCTACTGTCTTCTCGGAAATGTCAGGCAGCCAAGGGAATACCAAAATAAAACTTACAACAGGTCAATTATCTCTGTCTCTTGATACCAAGCTCTCAGAAGACACACTACAGAAACGTCCTTTGGTGTGTCAGGCTAATGTCAATAGTCAATTTCAACCTGAGTCATTTTCATTCAAGGCTGCCTAGTCAGTGCTTACACTATTTTTGTAGAGAATGAGATTTGATGTAGTAGTTATCAAAGTGAGAGTTTTGTACCAGCAGCATCAGTATCAGCTGGGAACTTATTAGAGCTACAAGATCCTAGGTCCATCCCACAACAAAAAATATTCTGGGGGTGGCGCTAGTGATGTGAATTTTCACTCAACCTCTGGGGGATTCTGGCTCACACTCAAGTTAAGAGAACCACTCTGGAAGAGCAGGGTGGTTAGGGGGCCTGTATCCTAAGACAGACACAGCTGTTTTCACATCTCTGTACCTCCACTTGGGAGGCTCTGAGCAAGGCCTAAATCTTACCTAGCCTCAGTGTCCTCAGCTATAAAATAGGGATAATACCTGAATCCACTGCGTGGCGCTTTAGGGACAATGAAACAAAATAATCCAAATTGCTTAGTATAGCGGCTGGCACCATCCCAAAGGAAACAAACCAATCAACAACTGCCTCCCGAATCAGGAAATATTTTGATTGTCTGTGTTCATATGAAACAGTACAGTAAAATGTGCTTTATATTTCAACTAATTATCTACACAAGCATACTTCATTTTAATGTGCTTTATAGATAACTGCATTTTTAACAAACTGAAGGTTTCTGGGATCCCTGTTTTGGGGCAAACTATCAGCACTATATCCCCCAGCAGTATATGGTTGCGCTATATTTTGGTAAATTTGGCAATATTCTAAACTTTTTCATACTGGTATTGCAAATTTAACATACTACAGTATAGTGCACACATAACTTTCCTATGCACTGTGAAAGCAAATAGTTTGTGCGATTTGCTTTATTGCTGTGGTCTCAAAGCTAACCCATGCTGTCTCTGTGGTCTGCCTGAATGTCCTGTTTTTTGGATGTTAAAGGTGGTGCTAACTTGCTCTTTTGGGGTGGGATGGGGGCGGGAGGTCTCTTTCAGTTTCTCCCAAAGGCTTTTGAAGCTCATCCTTTCCAACCAGTCAACCATTCTTGTGAACTCAAAAGATTGTATGTTCAAAACTGTGTGAAAGGCGGGAAGACATCTTGTTCCCTCTGATGGAAATATCAATGCTGTCTGTTATCCAAGTGGCTTCCCTCTCTTGCAGAAGGAGAAGTTCACAGTCCTAGGATGCGTGGGATTTTAGAGGGAAGGAAGTACAAGTTCCTCCACATCAGGGACTGGCAGTGGGTGGCAACTGCACCCAGATGCAGAGCAATGTTGAAAAGAGAGACCCACGTTTGTCATCATCCTTAAAAGAGGCTAGTCATATGAGACAAACTAGATTCTGACACACACCCTGGAAGTTGGTCTAACATTTCCTGTACAGAGGGAGCTAAATCAAGCTAACTTCAAAATAATCTTGTATTTTTCCGTACATTGCTCTTTTTCAATTTAAGAAGAGAGTTTTCTTTCCTCCCCAGCATCAGAGTTCCCTGCAATTCACTGTAATTTCCTGCAGTTCTCTCCGGAGACTTAAAAAGATTCTTCAGGTGACAGCATTACTCATGCACCTGGGAGTTCTGGTAGAGATGCAAAAGAGAAATTGTCATTATCCCCGAGGCTCCTGCAGGCTTCCCTTCGAGCCATCATCAGGAAGAAGAGCATAATGCCAGGAAGACAGCACAAATTGTCAGTCCCTGTCTCTACAAAGAAAGAGAGAGCAACTTATTGAGACAGAAACATCCAGTGTCCTCCTCTGCCCACAGAAAGATCACGTCATGTTGATAGGTCTTTTTTTTTAACGGGATTGTGGGTTAAGCGTTGGGCGCTAATCTCAAGGTGGGAGGTTCAAGCCCACCAGCCACTCAGAGGGGAAAAGAAGCTATCTGCTCCTGTAAAGATTTATAATCTTGGAATCTCTATAAAGGGATTTGGAATTGACCCAACGGCAGCATGGTTTTTGTTTTTCCGCATAGTGTAGTTACCTTCTGACAGATAACACAGAACCAAGGTTAAGTCCCCAACAGAGGAAAGAGCTAAGAGGACTTGTTAAGTGCTGTCCAGTTGGTTTGACTCTTAGCGACTCCGTATGGGGCTTCCGAGGAGTGGCTGGTTAGTTTGAACTGCCGACTTTGTGGTTCAAATTGATTTTGTGGTCCAGTGTTTTATCCTATAAGCACCACACTAGAACTTGAGGTGGGTGAAAATCAGATCTAGTTCGTTGTTCTTAACCAGGAGTGATTTTGTCTCCTTCCTTCCTGGAGACAGTTTTGGTTGTTACAATTGAAGTGTGCCACTAGCATCTAATAGGTAGAGGTAAAGGATGCTGTGAAATAACCTATAATGCCCAAGTCAGCACTCCCCCACCAATAAAGAACTACCTGGCTCCAAATGTAACAGGGGCCATGGTTGAGAAAATATGGCTTAGTTAACTACATCCTTGCATTTTCTCTCACGTGGGTTTTTTTTTTTTTTTTTTTTTAAGTTTTTATTGTGAATTGAGTGATAGTTTACATGAAAGAATATCAGTTTTACACTCATTGTTTCATTGCAGTGATTACAATCTCCTCCATCTCACATGACTTTTGTCATGGGGAAACATGTGTTCCTCCTGAAACTTTCTCCCCAAAAGGCAGACCGAGAGAAGAAATAAAACACTCATTCTATGATGGATTTCACATACTAGCAAAGGATTTCAGAGAAAGCAAAGTAAGACCTTTTGGGGGAAAAATATGAAATGGCCTTTTCCATGATTTTCATGGACTGTTTTTCAAAATTTATGATAAAAAGTTATATACATTTTGATTCTTTAATTTTTGTTTTATCATTTCATTTAAATTAAAGGTTTCTCAGTAGGAGTTGAAGCGTCCTGGTGTAGAGCTATAGGATCAGCATTAGGCTGCCAGCCATGAGGTTGGTGATTCAAACACACTGACACTCCTCAATAACTCTGTACAGGGTTGCTTTGAGTCATAACAGACTCAACGACCCTTAACAACAACAAAGTAGAAGCAGACAAACAAAGGAGAAAAGGAGATTTACCTCAGAAAATCAGACAATGAAAACCTATCGATCACAAGCAGATACAGGTATATCTTAGAGATGTCGCGGGTTCTGTTCCAGACCACCCCAATAAAGCATATATTGAAATCAAGC